GAAGTTGTGCAGGGGTGGATAATTAATAGAATCAACATAATAAGGAATAAGGCTGTGTAATATTAAAGCTTATGTGATAGATCTGTATTGTAACTTAAAAGTCTATTTTATAGACCAATGATGTAATCATGCATGTAAGAAAGTAATAAATAAGGAGGCTCGATCTGTAAGATCAAACTTCTACTTCAACTTTCTTGTATAAAACAAGCCCTTAATAAATATCTTTATACTACTTTGACATGTTTGTGTGCTTTGAAAGAGTAGCTAAACAAAATACAAGAAATGAAATGAATAATTCAAGCGTGTAATGCTAACAAATGAATGAACCTACTTACTCAAGGCGGGTCACTTGGTACGTTGAAATAAGTTCAATTTGATTATTCAAGATAGTTCACTTGGCATGTTGAATTCAATTTGGTTATTCCAATAGAGTTTGCTTATTTCATCCAGCTCATTTTGGTATGTTGAACTTGTTTATTCCACTGGGTCACTTTTGCAGATTGAATTAGATTTTTGAATTAGATTTTTGAATTAGATTTAGCATACTTTTTCTAGTCAAGATTAGACTCAATACAGTATACATTAGCTGGGTTATTTTATATCGAAGTAGAATTAATTTTATTATCTCAGCTAGGTCATTTTGGTATGTTGAATTAGGTTTAATTTGATTATCCTAATTCGACATATCAAAATGATCTAACTGGGTTCAAATGGAATTATTCTAGCCGGGTCATTTGGTATGTTGAATTAGGTTTAATCCATCTTACTTTATTTGATATACTTATTCTAGCTGAGTTGTATATTCAATTTAATCTTTCTAGCCAGGTCAATTAATACATTGAATTAAGGTCAACTTACTTGTTCCAACCGGGTTATACTGTTATTTTGAATTAGGTTCAACATACAGTACTTATTCCAGCAGGTTATTTTGGTATGTTGAATTACGTTCTCTTGACTTTTCTAGCTAGCTTATTTGGTATGTTGAATAAGGTTCAACTTGCTTTTTCTGACCAAGTCACTATGTTATATTAGAACTCTAGATAATTCTAATAAGGGCACTATTACTAAAACCGGACATGTTTTTATTAAATTTAATCATTTTTTTGGCTCAAACTTTTTTAAATTCTGGTCAAATTAAAATTAATTTTTATTTTGGCCAGAATTTAAAAAAAGTTTGGGCCAAAAAAGTGAACAGAAGTTTGAAAATTTACTATTAACTCAACTCGTACCTCTATTGATATTATTCAGGGGTCCTGTTATATTCATTATGTTCATTCCTACTACATCAATTTTTGGTATGTTGAATCAAATTCGATTTGCTTATTCTAACTGGGTTAGTTTTTTATATGAATGGTGTTTGATATACTAGCCGGATTATTTCTGGTATGCTAAATTTGATTTGATTTTTATTTGATTTGCTTATTCTAGCTAGTTATTTTTGTTATGTTGAATTAACTATTCTAGCAAGCTCACTTTATATGTTTAATTAGTTGTTTTAGTCAGATTACTACTCATTCTAGCCAGGTTATTATACTTATTCTAGCCAAATAATTTTGGTATGCTTACTTTATTATTCTAGCTGACTCATTTGTTTATTTTGGTATGTTGAATTAGATTCTGTTTGATTATTCCAACTGGGTCATTTTGGTATATTAAGTTAGGTTCAATTTGATTATCCTAAATTGACATACCAAAATGACCTAGATGGATCCAATATGATTATTCCAGCTGGGTCACTTGGTTAAGTTCAACTTGATCATTCCAGCTGGGTCATTTGGTATGTTAAATTAAGTTAAATTTAATAAAACAGTGTGAAATCTGATTTGCAAGCTAGTGAAATTCGCTATGTTAGAGACCTGCAGAATTTGTGATTTGCTGTGATCGAAGCAATTTGTGTTTTACTGATTTACTTCAATTTGCTTCAATTACAGCAAATATATTTTTCAAGCATATTAAACAGCTATAAAAATATTGTCAAGAAAATAAAGCTATAGCAGCAGTTTGGACATGATAACAAATACTTTCTAAAAACAAACAGTCGAAATGAAATTTAGAGCAAGTTTTTTTAATTAGATTAATTTTTAGAATTTATATACAGATAAGTAAACATAATTCAATCTGTATTTAGATTTCACAGGTCCCTGTGCTAGGTAGATCAGGTTAGGGTAAAATCCGTATTTGATAATGTTTTTTACTATATAAAAGTGAATTTCATTCTCATGGTTATCATAGCGGATTTCACTAGCTCACGACTCTAGTTTCACCCTGTCGTAATTTAATTCTTTTAGCCAGACCATTTTGATATGCTGAATTAGCTATCTTAATCAGACATCTTGGTATGTCCAATTTACTTATTCCTGTTAGATCATTTTCTTATATTATATACAATTTACTCATTTACTCAGTCCATTGAATTAGGTTCAGCTTGCCTGTTCCAGCTAGGTTACTTGATATGTTCAGTTTGCTTATTTCAGATAGGTTATTTGGTATATGAATTAGGTTCAATTTATTATTCTATCTGATTTATTTTGTTTTGTTGAATTATGCTTATCTTATTCTAGCATAGTTATCTTGATATGTTGAATTAGGTTCGATTTTATTATTTCAGCTGGGTCATTTTGTTATTTGTAGCATAAAATATCTAAATGGCACATTATTTTCACATAAATCAACTCTATCGAAAACAGAACTTGTAGGATTAAGGTTCATTGAGATTATTCTAGCCGGGTCATTTTGGTATATTGAGTTTATTTATTCTAGCTAGTTTACTTGATATATTAGATTATGTTTAATTTGATTATTCTAGCTAGGTCATTTTATTGTATTAAATTAAGGTCCAGTTCTATCATTCTAGCTGGGTCACTTATATGCTTTAACTTACTTATTCCAGCAGTATACTGATTAGGTTCAGCTTGCTTATTCCAGACGGGTCATTTTGATATATTGGATTAATTGTTCTAGCTGGGTCAATTTTACGTTTAATTTGCTTATTTCAGCTAAGGTACTTAGTGTATTGAATTAGGTTCTACCTACCTATTCCATTCAAGTTATTTGTATGTTGAGTTAGGTTCAACTTGTTATTCGACTGGTATTTTTGAATTTTATTATTATATTGATTAGATTTGCTTGCTTATTTTAGCTGGGTTATTTTTTATCTTGAATTCCAGCCAGGTATGTTTAATTAGAAAAATTGTGGTGCAACTTATATTGTTTTAACCAGGCCATTATATGTTGAGGTTAATTTGATTATCCAAACTAGATCATTTTCGTATGTTGAATTAGGTTTAATTTGATTCTCCTAATTTGACGTACTAGAATAAAAATTGTATATAATTTGACATACACAATAACTTAGCTCACTTTGAAACTGATTGTCGTGAAAGCTTTATAAATCTGTATAAAATGTAATTGAAGCTAATTAGCTTTTGTTTCAATTATATGAAATTTCTAGCTACTGTATTATTTACTTACACGATAAATCAAACGAATAAAATTAAATTAAATTGTAAATATTCATGCAATTAAAATAATAATTAATAATATTTATGAGCTTATATAATTTGTCAAGATTGAATAAATATTCAATTCTTCTAAAGCAACTCTGAAGCAACATGCATAAGTTCAAAAATGAATCGTGCATCTTGATTTTTCAGTACAATTACATTCTTTTAAAGATATAACCAGGGAGGGTAGCATCACCTGCAGCATTGTTGCAAAGAATCAGTATTGGTATTGTATCTATAGTGCTATTACTATGAAATTTTGGCATATTATATATATTGAATATTGGTTGCACCCATATAACCCATAAAATTGCCCTGGTCATATTTCTTTTAAAGGTTGTTGCTCAACTTCTTGAATATTATTCCTTTATAGACCACTTACCCAACATCACTTAGAGTTGGGGTTAGCATTTGATTAGTTGCAGGTAGAATATTTTTTTAGCAAACTGTTATCCTATGTGATGTAGAGTAAGGGAAATAACTAGGGGAATTGTGCTAATAGTGACTGGACTCATCAATTCGTGATTCGAATAATTTGAAATTATTATAATTTGAATCATGAAATTTTTAACTCATGATTACTCGTGAGTTTGTAATAATATATAATAAAGTTTAAAATGACCAATGCTTTGCATTAATAAATTTTGTAATGCAGCATAAAATAATATCTATGAATTAATTTCCGTAACTCAAATTACTTGAATAAAATTTAAATATGTAATTCAATCGAATGGTTTGAGCACTCTTCCGAGTTTAATTCGTGGATCACGAGTTGATACGAGTACTGTTACTATACTGTAACCTTTGTAAATACATAAAATTCTTAGTATGTGCTGCTAGTAGCAAATTGTCCTAATAAAGTTACAGCCTAAGCCGTAACTAGCTAAAGCTTATGCATAACTAGTTATGACAATCATTGAAACGATTTGCCTGCATCATTAACTACTAGCCAGGTTACTTTAGTTTATTGTATTTTGGTACATTGAATTAGGTGCAATTCGATTCTCTAATAAAAATAATTTTTTTGACTGTTATGTTTCAACAATAGTATAAATAAATTGTTAAACAAGTTTAAATTACGCAGTTTATGTTTATTGTATTAGAAAATTAAAAATTTTCTACATAGCATGTTGAACAAATACGTACGTACATACGTTTGTATATATATATATATCATATACATTCTATTATCCTGAGAAGTAATTAAGTAATGTACGTATATGTAGAAAAGACCTGCAAATCTTACTAAATAAGATTTGCAGTTTTTCTTTGTATAACACTAATAATAAACAAAGTGCTGCATCGTTACTATTTAATCACTTAATTATTTGGTAAGTATGAATTTGTTTTTGTTTAGTATAAAAATATATTGTACATGTATATATATATGTTGTAGATATAAATTTTTTAAAAAATTTTGTAATTTTTAATACTTGATTTTTTACAAAAAAATTTAATAAATCTTTTAACAAACCTTAATCTTTTTATCATTCAAATATGTCACAATCTCCTATTAGTATAGTAGATAATTTTGAAGATAATACTTTTGAAGATGATATTTTTAAAGATAATACTTTTGAAGATGATATTTTTGAAGATAATACTTTTGAAGATAATATTTTTGAAGAAGATACTTTTGAAGATAATATTATTATTGAATCTGGTACTTCTCAAAATATAGAAATTGATACTATTGCTGAATCTAGTATTTTTCAAGATATAGAAAATGGGTTTAAAGATATAAATAGTTTTGAAGATATAGATAATCAACCAAGTTCTAAAAAAACAAAAAAAAACTACTTCTAACTATTTATAAATATTATAGATTTAATAGACAAACAAAACAATTTAAGTGCAAGTTTTGTTTATAAGTTTTATATTATATTTTATATTTAAATTATTTTTATAAATAAAAATTAAAAATTTTTTTTTTGAATTTAGAAACAAGTATAAAAAACCAAAAAATTATTCAACTAAAATATATATTATAATTTTTAATAAATATTAATTCAAAAATAATTTGTTTAATATAAAATTTTAAATAATCTAAACTTTAATAACAAATTAAATTTAATTTAATATATTAAATAATCTAGTTAAAATAGTTAAACTAATTTTAATTCAATACTAATTATATATAAAAAAATAATTAAACAATTTAAAATATTATTAAAATAAATCTAATTTAATATTAAAATAATTTAATTAAAAAAATTAATTTAAAATATAAAGTATATAATTAAAATAAGCAAATTAACTCAATGTAATATATTAAATAATTTAAATAAAAAAATTTTAACAAAATATAGTATTTAAATTTTAATTTAAGTTAATTTAATTTAACTTAATTAATTATTAATTTAAACTAAAAATTTTTAATTTAAATTATATAGTATAATCTATTAAAACTAATTTTAATAAAATAATTTGTTAAATCTAAAAAAAAATTATTTTATTATTTTATATTTTAATATATAGTAGTAATTTAATTTTTAAATTTAATAATTTTTTAAAACTACTACAAATTTTGTTTATTATATATATTAGCTTTAATAGAATAAACTATATACTAAAAAATAGAGACTATTGTAAGTTCAAAGCAAAATTATTATATAAATTAACAATAAGAATTATAAAATTAATATATTTAAAAAAACAATATTACTATAGATATTTAAATACTATTTTTATATAAGAATTGTAATAGAGTAAAAAAAAAGTAATTATATAATTAATAAATATGTTATATAGATAAAAAATAATAAAATAAGTGATCAAGTATATATTAATATTATATTTAAGCTAAGTTATATAAGATTTGTTATATTATATAAATATACAAATAAAAATAAACAGAAAGTTTAAAGTTGCTTTTTTTGATATTTTTATTATAAATATATTAATAATAATACTTTTAATATATCAAAATTATAACTTTTGTATCACTTTGCATAGTAATTAAGCATCCTCTGCTACACTCTGAACAATTACTAATTTAGATAATAAATTATTAAATAATAAATATAAAAAATAAAAATAATTTAATTTAATTAATTGTATAAATAATTAATTATTAATATAAAGTACTAACTTGTTATAATTTTTTAAAAATATATTAAACAAATAAAAAATAAATAATTTAGTATTATTAAAATTTTAATAAATAACAATCTAATTATTTTTTATATATTTAATATAAATATAAATACTAATTTTAATTAAAAAAATAATTTTATCTAAAAATTTAATTTAATCAACTAATTTAAACTTTTTAAAAAATTAACTTGATCTATAATTTTTTATTACCCTATATTATTATTTTAACTATAGCAAATTATCAAATATATTATTTAATAAATAATTTTTATAATATATTTATATATATATAAAACAAATCTAATTATATAAAAAAAATATAAATAGCTTATAAATACTATATAGTTAATCAATTTTTTGTTAAAAAATAATAGAGTTCCAATCTGGATAACATTTATCCATATCTGATTTATCTGTTATTCGGATATCCATTTACTATTAATATCCGGATAATCTGACAGATATTTGGATAATTATCCAGATATTAATAGTAAATAGATAGTAAATAGATATCCGAAGAAGTTCAGATCCGGATATCTGATAATTATCCGAATAAACACAAACTGGATTGGAACTCTAAAAAATAAAATTATATGTATATAATAGTAATTTATTTATTACTAATTTTAATATAATTATAAAGGAACTCTCTCCGTTTATCACTCGTACACAAACTCTCTCCAACCTAATTAATTAAAAACAGCTTATAACTTCTT